ATTTATGAATTTGAAGATGAACAGTGGTTCAAATGTTCAAATACAGAGTATTTCTAACAACAAGAAATCAAGATGATTTTAAATACATTTCTGTCACAAAAAAGACACAGCAAAGTCTCTTGTGTTTTTACTTGCATTAGAACCCCTGGGAAGGAAAATATGACAAGACAATAAAATTTCAGAAATTAAATTGGCAAATCAAGAGTATAAATTAACATTATATGCTAATACTGTCATTAGTCTTCTAAAGATCCTTAGAATTGGCAATGGAACATATACAGCAATACAGTTCAGTATCAGGATTATAGATTAATAAGAATAAGACACAGATGATTACATGGAATCTATCTGAAGAGGAAAAACAGCACTTGGAAAAAAAACAGGGTTTAATAACACTGTAAGCTAATCAAGAACTTGAGAATTTACCTAACCAGAAACAATAAAAACTTATTCAAAAGTAATTTACAGATCTGTAAAAATATAATGGCTGATATTGTAAAATGGAAAAAGTTAGACCTATCTTGGCTAGGAAGAATATTGGCAGTAAAATGAATATTTTGTCAAGTATAAAGTTTTTATCTCAAATGATTGCAGTAAAAATTGGACAAACGATGAATAACTTCATTTGGGTAAATAAAAGGCTGTGGATTAAAGTAACTTCATTTGGGTAAATAAAAGGCTGTGGATTAAATTCAGGATTCTACAAGATGAAAAAGAATGAGGTGGATTGGGTTGTACCAAAGTTTAACTTATACTATTGTAAGGTTTTGTAGCCCAGAATCTATACTTTCCAATGAGACTCTAGACTCATTTGCAAAGAAAATACAGCTTTTATTGTTGGCCAAGAGAAAAGCAGGGTGGACCACTCTCCGTCTGACTGGCAGAGGGAAGACAGAGAACAGCCACACCCTAAAACAGTTTACAACAGTTTTTATACCTTTTTGTCATCAGGAAGCATCTAGGAGGAGGGCCACACACACAAGTGTGCCTGCCTTCTAAGGTTGA